TTTGGACTTTGAAGTAAGTCCTGCTTCACAACATTGTTTAAAAGATTTATCAGACTGTGAAGTAGAAGTTCCTAATGGTTTCTTAAGAAACTTTTTCATACTAGCACTCATAGCTTGGTTAGACGTAATCATTTCAACATTTCTTTTTCTTTTAGAAGCGCCGGATTCCCATTTTCTTCCTATATCTCTATCTCTAGAGTGTTCTGCAGACATGATGACCTAGAAAGTATTTTTTGTAAATTGAATTTGTAAGTACTCTACTATTGCTAAAGAATAAGAAGTGTGGCAATACATGACAGATATTTTGTTTCATCCAATCACTAAATTAATACCAAACCAACATTTGATTTTAATTTAATAGTAATAAATACCTGTGCTCACAACCTTTTTTCGTGTACTATTAAGCAAAACAATCAATATAATCTTTGGTTATTCGTATTTTACCTTTATAACAATTGTACTTTAGAATTTGGTAACAAACAAGCTAGTGTTTATCCTTTCTGTATAACTTTTTTAAATTTTTAATATTAATAGCGAAGAAGTGTTTAAGAGTCGACTTTCCAAAAATGAGGTGATGAATACAGGTGTTTTACAAAATTTTTAGTTTATGATTGTAATAAAGTTAATAATATTTTGCCACCGACTTTAATTATAAATCACAACACTTTTTTTGTTGAAAAACTAATAATAAATTTCTAATTTTTAATTTAAAATATATAATAATGAAAGTATAATATTGCTTTGTCTTCTGTAAAATGATTCAAAATACGTGTACATATAAAGGATGATTGAAATAGAAAGAATAACTTGTGAGAGCACAAAACTAAATAACCCAAAAACCCAAACAAAACTAAACTCACAACAATAACAGCTCAAAAACCGCTATTCGCGGCGCATAAGCTTTACATCCACATATTTATTTTTGTAATGCCATTTACTATTCGACTGCACACGTGTGTCGCAATGCTTACAACTATTAAAATTTGGGACCACAAATAGAAACAAAATGTTCATTAGTTATTCTAGCTATTCTGAAGATGCGTGGAATGCAAGATTTTGCGATTACCGTTATGTTGTTTTTTCGTGGATTTTGCTTATATTGTCTAAGCAATTAGTATTGCACTGTTAGGCTGAGTTATTGCATCACATTTCAGAGAATCACAGCATGGAGAGTAAAGGCAAAGAAATTTCTGCTGAGGAGCGAAAAATTATCATTAAACTATTCGTAGATGGGAAATCTTATAGAGAAATTGGTGCATTAGTTGGAGGAGCCCACTCCTCTGTCCAAAAAGTAATTAATAATTAAATTTCTACTGGTAGTATCTTACCAAAGGCTCGATCTGGCCGTCAGCCTTTGCTAACGGAGCGCGAGCAAAAAGACGATTATTAAGCCTATTCAGCGCAATCCCAGGACGACAGCCCACACAGCACAGATTCAAATCAAGGATAGTTTTTCCAAAACTATTATTTTGACAAAAAAAAGTCGCCCGTAAAAAACCAATGATATCGGAAGTCAATAGGCAAAAGCGCTTAACTTTTGCTGATGAGTTTATTTCAAAACCCCTAGACTTCTGGAATCAAGTTATATTTTCTGATGAAAGTAAATTCTGCATGTTTGGAAACAAGGGCAAAGTTTTAGTATGGAGGAAAAGTGAGAAGCATTTAAAAAAGAAAATTTAGTCGGCACAGTTAAACATGGAGGAAGCGGCATAATGGTGTGGGGGTGTATGGCATCAAGCGGCGTGGGAAACTTGACATTAATCGAAACAACTATGAATCAGGAAATATATATCAACATTTTGAAAAACAATTTAAAAGAAGAGCTGAGAAATTGGGACTTGAACGTGAATTTTGGTTCCAGCAAGACAACGACCCAAAAAACACGGCGCATAATACAAAGCTTTAGCAGCTTTATAATGTTAAATATCAGCTGCGAACACCTCCTCAGAGTCCTGATCTGAACCCTATAAAACATTTGTGGGATCTCCTCGAGCGAAAAATCCGAAAACACACAACAACATCAAAAAAAATTGCTCAAGGATGTAATTGTGGAGGAATGGGGCAATACCATATTACTGCTGATGAAACAAAAAAAACTTGTCGATTCCATGCCAAAACGCCTTGCGGAGGTTTTGCAGAAAAAAGGATACCATACAAGTTATTGAAAAGGGTATATTATTACTCTACTTATAGGTTAAAGTGAGCTGTACGCAGACTTTTGCGTATAGATTTTTTCGTAGTATTAATTTTAAAATTAAAATAGAAAACATTGTTAAAAAATGTTGGAAAAAATATATTATTGAAGACAATAAATTATAGTTATGTTTAAAAAAAAGAATTGGTTAAAAATATTAATAAATGATCGAATAATTTGAGTTGAAAGATTGATTTTAAAATTTTTTTGGGGTGTACGCAGATATATGCGAGTGACTGTATGTATAATCCATTACTTTTTTGTTACATAAATGGTATTTGCGTAATCTACAAATACGCAAAACAAAAAATTCTTGTTTATTTTTAGCAAGAAAAACAATACTCAGGCCTATTCTGAATACTCCCAGGGAACAAAACTCCTTATTCCCACGCTGTTCCCAAACACACAATTCCCTTATTCTGAATTGCTTAGGAGACAGCAGTTTTGGGAACAACAACAGTTTCAAATTTGTTTTGTTAAATTTTGGCAACCATGCCACTTTTTAATGACGAAAAGTGCGAAAATTAGCAAAACAAAGAAAAGAATTGCATATCATATGTTGATTTAAATGTAAAAATCGCATTTTTTGTTTGCTGCACAAATTATCGGAAATAAATATAAGTTATTTTATGAGTAAATAATAAATAATAAAATAATAAAAAACTTTTATTTTAATGAGTAAAATAAATATATAAAAAGAATTGTGCATGAGCGAAATAAACAAGAATTGTGCAGTTGTTAATGATTATTTAAATAAAAAATTTTGAAAAATTTTCAAAAATGCATTCAATTGCATTTCGAGCTTTAGCGGAGGATTTGGCTCAAGAACAGGAGCAAGAAATTTTGTAACAGAGGATCAATCGCAAAAACTTACATGTTAAATTTAACTCTTTTCTAAATTTTTAACTCTTTTTTAACTAATTAAAAAACAACATTACGTTATGATATCAATTCTTCTATGTCTTTATTTTCAAACATTCACTGCTTTTATACAAAACTTGCGTAAATTATAATTTAATTTTTTTTATATAATTAGGATAGAAATGTCCTTCATGCTTCAATTAGTGAACTAATAATAGTTTATGATTGTGCAGATGTTACAATAAAAAAGAAGCAATGTTTTACCTGCACATAACATAATTGCAAAAGTTTATTTTAACTTATTCTAGGAATCCCATTCATTTCAGAATTTGGTCTCCTTTCATTTTTCTATTGTTTTAAAAACAATAGTTAACACTTTAATTAGTGAAAAAAACCCGTGCGAATAAAATAAATAAATAAAAATTTAAATATTTTAAATTTGTTATACTTTTATTAAAATTATTTTAATAAAATATATTAAATGAAAATTTAGTTATATTAAATTTATTAAAATATATTCGGAAAACTAATCAACTCTTGTGGATAAAATAAAAAAATAAAACTTTGAAAATATTAAATTTATTGTAATAATTTTATTATAATAATAATTTTATTAAAATATATTCAAAAATCTGATCATTTTCAGTTACTTTTATATTAAATTAAACCATTTTTAATACTTTTTTAACTTGTGTCCCCAACAATTTGGTAGGGAAAGAATTTGTGCAAAATTGGGAAAAAACTTCCATTCCCATGCGATTCAGAATAGCAAAATTGGGAACCGGGAACAAAACTCCCACTCCCAATTTGTTCAGAATAGCAAACTTGGGAACAGGGAACAAACTCCCATTCTCATGCGACTCAGAATAGGCCTGAATATATTCAAAAATCTGATCATTTTCAGTTACTTTTATATTAAATTAAACCATTTTTAATAATTTTTTAACTTGTCTCCCCAACAATTTGCTTGGGAAAGAATTTGTGCAAAATTGGGAAAAAAAACTCCCATTCCCATGCGATTCAGAATAGGAAAATTGGGAACAGGGAACAGAACTCCCATTCCCAAATTATTCAGAATAGCAAACTTGGGAACAGGGAACAAACTCTCATTCCCATGCGATTCAGAATAGGCCTATGTTTATTATCATAAATGTATTTATATATATTTTCTTTGGGTCATTCTTTCTAATAACGCTCTGAAAATTTGAGTTAAAAACCAAGCATCAAGCCCATCTACCACCATGCACGCAGTGTAAACAACGAATTTGTTCCTGACATACACTTTGTATATTTAATACTCTTTGACATAAGTAAATACTCTGAACTTGAAATACAAAATCTACATATTCTTAAGGCCAAGTACAACACTTACCAAAAAAGTATGGATTTTACTTAAAATCTAAATTGATAATAACATATTGTTAACGGCCAAGTGTGTGTAGAAATAAAATTTCTAGAATTGAGAAGTTTTCTTATATTTCGTTTTTGCTATAAAGTATAAAAATATATTTGCAGTCTAGCACATTAAATAACACGACTACGAACATTTACGTTTACTAGCTTAATCATATGCTAATCTCATATATTTGTATTAGGCATTAAATTTCGTCAGATATTACAATAATTTGGAAGAACATACGCAGAGTCACTTACACGTTTCAAGAAAAATAACGCGAGAACAGAATTACATACGCAGAGTCACTTACACGTTTCAAGAAAAATAACGCGAGAACAGAATTAAATTAATTGGTGAATTCGCTTACAAAATATTAGAGATGACACATAAATAAATTTAATTATTTGTATGTTGACAATTTTTTTCTTTCGTACTTTTTCAGAATGCGTGCAATTTTTTAACAAAAACACTTTTTTTTCCATTTTTTTTTTATGAATCAGTCACAATGGAAAAAAGAAATGATAGATAAATTGAAAAAATAAGTTAAATTGTGTTTTAGGTTGTTAATTATTTTCATATTTTATGGTATGTAAGTAAATATATGGTATTTAAAATTTTAGGCACTTTTAACAAAAAACTTTTTCGTAGGATCTTTAGACATTTCTATCAATGTTTTAGCCGGTTTAAAAGGTTCACCATATAAATCGGCATATGCATTCATTTTATCTACCAGTTTTGATGCTGAATATTGATCCACCCATCTAAATGGGCCTCCAGTGAATGGAGGAAATCCAAGACCAAAAACCGCACCAATGTCTCCTTCTAAAGGATTATCGAGTATTTTTTCTTCTAAACAAAGTACAGCTTCATTTACAAAGCGAGAAACCATACGCAACGTCATTTCTTCTACAGAATTGAGACCTTTTGGAGAAAGCGAATATTTCTGCTTGATGATTTCCATAGCATCTGCGTTAATAGGTCGGTTTTTTCCAGATTGACCATCATATAAAAATATTCCTTTGTTAGATTTTCGTCCTAAAAATCCAGACAAAACTAAGTCTTGCATGACAGACAAATTGCCACCACTAAAACGTTCTCCAAAAGCCTACATATATAAACACAGGTCTTATTTAATGCGTTGATTAAGATAGTCAAAAGTAATTATACCTTAGACAGGTCCGTAGCAATGTGTGAGCCGACATCTATTCCGACTTCATCAGCCAAAGTAGCAGCACCAACTGGAAAGCCGAATTGTTTAGTCATTTTATCTAATTCAATGGGATCAACACCTTCCTGTAAAAGTCTTACAAAAACATAACCCATTTTTCCAGTTAATTCATATCGTAATACCTGATTGCTTCAGATAACATTGTAGCCAAAATACGTGTTGTGTAAAACCCAGGGCCGTCACCAACAATTATAACAATTTTTCCTAAAAATGTCATTAGTAATAAAGTTAAGCTTAGTACAAAAATATTTTTATACCTTGTTTTAAACCCACATTGACAGCAGTCGCTATTGTATCTTTAGATGTGCCTGGATGTGTTACAATTTCAAGAAGTTGCATTTTATCTACTGGAGAAAAGTAATGCATTCCTACCAATTTTTCTGGGCGAGAACTTCCTTTTGCTATACTCTTAATAGGAATTGCGCTAGTATTAGTAGCAATTACGCAATTTTCATTTACGGCTCCCTCTATTTCTTTGAGTACCTGATGCTTAATATCGATATTCTCGAAAACAGCTTCTATTACAATATCCATATTTTGAAAATCGTTATAAGAAAGGGTTGGTTTCAGTTTCGCTAAAATCTGATCTCGTTCATAAGTCGTAATACGCTTTCGTTTAACTGCTGTATCAAAACCCTTCTGAACTTGTCCAAAACCTCTAGATAGATTACTCTCAGTGGTGTCTTTCATAACAACTCCGTAGCCTTTATTAAGTGACACTTGAGCTATTCCCGCACCCATAAGACCAGCGCCCAGAACACCAACATTAGTAGGTTCATTTTTAGGTCTACCAAAGCGATTTTTTTTGCATTCTGTTTGTCCTCGAAAAAGACTTAACAAGCCTTTTGATTCTGTAGTCATAGCAAGGTCGCCGAAACCCTTTCTTTCAGCTTCGTAACCAGCATTTATACCTTTATCAACACCAACACGAATAACGTCTATAATCTATTGCAAATTTAAAAAGATAACGTTATAGTGACAAAAAAATTACAATACAAACTTTTAGAGGCGCAGGGTAAAGACCACCAGACATTTTCTTTACTTGTTTACGAGCAGTATCAAAGATCTTATTTTTTACAATATCTAATGCCATTGCATGTTCCAACAAATTATTGACAACTCCGGATTTCTCTCGTTTGACCTTATTCAGATTAATTATTAGGAAAAGTACTTTATAAAATATGCGGTATCTATACCTTAAGTTTTCCAGTGGAAATATCGTTAGCTACTTCAATCGCTACTTTTTCTAAATACTCCATTGTGATATTTTCTGCAGGTGCTAAGCCAGGTCCTAAAGGACTAAGTAATAAATCAACAACACCCAATTTCTTTGCTCTTTTCGCTGTTATTTGCTTTCCTGTTAGTTGCATATCTAATGTTACAGGTACGGAAGTAAATTTGGGTAAACGAACAGTACCTCCTCCGCCCGGTAGTAACCCTAACATAACTTCTGGTAGACCTAATTTGGTTTTTTTATCTTCTGTGGCGATACGATAATGGCATGCAAGTGCTAATTCTAATCCGCCGCCCAAACAAGCACCATTTATTGCTGCTACAATTGGCTTTTGACTACGTTCCATGCGATCGAACATTATTTGCGCGGAATGAGATATTTTTGTGGCTTCTTCGGCAGTTTGGCATTTTTCTAACATAATTACATCAGCTCCTGCTATGAAGCACCCAGGCTTTCCAGATATAATTATTGCTGATTTCACATTTGTATTAGTTTCTAGCTCTTTGAGAACACTTTCGAATTCCTGGCTTACATCGAGGCCAAGGCAATTAACTCTGGAGCTAGGAGAATTGAAGTTTATTACGAGCACGTTATTAACGACTTTAGTTTGCAAATGTTTATTTGCAACATTGGACATCTTTCGAATATTTGACAGGCATACTACAATACACAAAAAATGGTGAAAGTTATAATTTAAACAAATAATTTTATTGCATATTTTTTTAACGTCCAATAAATTTCACAAATGCAATAAAATTCAATTGTGTTTGAAACACAATTGTGTGTATTAATATCAAGATATATATTTCCGTGTTAAATCATTTTATTGATATAACGTTTAAAATTAGTGAAGTCCAAAGTTCAATTCCTATTATGAGTTAAAAAGCACAAACTTACCTCTTGGATTTTTACCATAATACAGTACCCTAGAAAAATCATGAAACGCTTTTAAGAATTTTGGTGTCCACATTTTGGCAGAAAAAATATATAACGTTAATAGGGACTAAAATGCTATTTATAACAAAACTTATTCATTAAAAACGTATTTCAGCTTCCAACTAGTACGTAGATCAGCATCAAACGGCTACAGTAAACTAACCTAAACGCACGATTTATTTCAACAGCTGCTGTGCTTAAATGGCAAGGAATACATAACAAGAACAAACATTTTATTTAAAAAAAAATAAAATTTTATTTATATGTCTACAGAGGGTATTGTATTGTGAAGACGCAAATTCATATAAATTTCCGCACTACATAAAATTGAAATTATGCAATATATTTGCAATATATAAAGAAATATATTAATATAAATGAATAATAATAATAAAATATATAAATTAAAATATTAATATATGAATACTGAAAACATTATTTATTCACTATGGCCCTATGCAAGTTCAAGTAAATTGAGAGAAATAGTAAATTATGTCGGTATGGCAGAATGATGGTATTTACCAGAATTTCGAGTAGGGTAAATTAAATAAAAATTAAGTAAATTAGGTGTTCCCATTGTGGAAATTTTATAAGATGTTTAATAAATAAATAAATAAATTTGAAAAGTTTTAACAAGATATAATAAATAAGTGCAATAAATAAATAAATAAATATTTACATAAGTGCAGTGCAAAAAATCCCTAGGAAATTTCAATTTACTCGAACTAGCACACGGCCTATATATATACACATAGTAGAAAAAGTCTACGGATATTCACAGAATTTTTCTTAAATTACGCATAACTTTTATAATTTTTACTCAAATTCATTTTTATTTCCTGATTTATTTTAACTAAAGAAACAACAATAAAGTTCCAATATAAAAACTAAACAGTTATTCTTTAAAAAAAAATTGAACACTATTATATACAAAAGTAGCAATTTTTGAAGTAGAAAAAGTCTACGGATATTTCTTAATATTTACATTTACCGCTAATTTAAATTCGCTTGCAAGCATAAAAGTGTCATTAAATGATATTTAATTATTAGTTGACTTTCTAAAAAGTCTTAAAATTAATCATTTAATAATATTTTTTTATATAAGCAATAAATTTTTACAATATAAAATAAAAGACGTGAAATTAGTTTTAGTGAGCGACAAATAACTGTTAAATTTTAGAAAGATGACGTAAGCCAAAGAAAAATTGCTGAAGATATTGGTCGTCAATATTCATCTGTGCAGAGAATTACAAATAACTTCAAAGAGACCAGTACTTACGTTTCTAAACTTCGCACTCGCCGCCCCTCAATTCTGTCAAATAGAGAAAGACGTAGCATAATCAACCAGGTGAAAGTAAATGCTAGAGTAACAGCCTTCAAACTAGCTGAACATATTGCCGAAATACTTGAAAACAAAATATATCCTGATACTGTGCTGAAAATTTTGAAGAAATGCATGTATTATACCCTGATTGCAGGAAAGAAGCCATACATATCCAGATATAATAGAATAAAATGATTAAGCTTTGCAAGAAAGCATATAAATAAACCCATAAAGTTCTGAAAATAAGTTATTTTCTCCGATGAGAGTTAATTTTACATACTTTGAATCAAAGTTAGATAACTTGTAAGGAGAAAATTATGCACAACCTGTGATAAACAGTAAACAGTAAAATGTGTTGGTGAAGGCGTAATGATTTAGGGGTGTATAGCAAGTAATGGTGCGGTTAGACTTGAATTTGTACAAGATACAATGGAGAAATATGTCTATCTAAATATTCTAAAAACAAATTTGAAAGAAAATGTCAGAATGTTAGGACTTGAGGCAACCTTTTTGTTTCAGCAGGACAACGACTCTAACCATACAGTACCCATCGTACGGATTTGGATGCTGTACTATGCTCTCAAGCAACTTCAAACACTACCAGAATCACCAGTCCTTAGTCCTATAGAACATCTGTGGGTTTATTTGGAAAATAAGATTCGCCAGCATATGTTTTCCAGCAAGGATATAGTAAGAAACGTCATCAAGGAAGAATGGCTTGAAATAAACGCACAGGATACTGCAAAGTCCATGCAAAGACGCTTAACAGAGGTTATTAAATGCAGAGGTTATCCCACAGGCTATTAAATTTAAGGTTTTTGTGAATATTATTGTTTTAATGTAAATATTAAGAAATATCCGTAGACTTTTTCTGCTTCCAAAATTGCTACTTTTGCATATAATTGTGTTTAATTTTTTTTTAAAGAATAACTGTTTAGTTTTAATATTGCAACTTTATTGTTGTTTCCTTGGTTAAAATAAATCAGGAAATAAAAATGAATTTGAGTACAAATTAAAAAAGTTATGCGTAATTTTAGAAAAATTATGTGAATATCCGTAGACTTTTTCTACTATGTGTATATATCTCCTAATAAGTTAATATTTATTTTATTATAATAGCATAAACATAAATACTATAAACTACCACTATGCATCTTTAATTTGTAAATTTAATAAACCAGTTGTAAACAGAAAATATTCGCACGTACTGCCAAGTCAAAGGTTAATGCTCCCAGCAGAGCCGTTAATTCTCAACGCAATGCAGGAATTTAAGCAAGAAATCCATCAACCTTAAGCGTGCGAAGAATCACACTTGTGTATGCAACTAACAAAATGACGGTGACCAATATAAAAGCTTAAAGCTTTTTTAGCTACATGGGGACTTAAATTAATAATACAAGAAAGAAATACTCTTGGAATGAACAACAACAGATTTTTTTATTATAATCTGGAAGATAATTTTTTTTTGAATATCTTTTTTGTTATATGTGAGTTATATGGTCCATTCGATCAGTCCAACTTCTGACTATTTTTAGCAATAAATGTGGCCGTATGGCATCAATGGTGGCAGAAACATTGGCTTCCAATGCTTCAAGAGTTGTTGATTTGTCGGCATTAACCAATGACATAGCTCTATAAAAAATTATTTGAAGATGTTAAATCACACGAACGACCGATCAGTTGTTACCCAATTTATTTCGCAAATGTTGTCAAAGTTTAACTCATTACTTTTTCGAAACAAAAATTCAGTCCGTATGGATCAATAGCTCTCGCCATTCACCGTAATTGTAGCTCTTCCGCACCAAACAGTAATTTTAATGGATGTAATGGTGATTTGTTAACAGCTTAGGGATCATATTCGCTTTATATACAGTAATTTTGGTAAAATTGACAAAGTGTTGTATGGACTTCGCGAACAGAATTGTTGTTCAAAGTAAATTTCCACAATTTAGAAGCGTTAATCTAGCGTTACACGATTTGTGGCCAGTTTGCCACACAATGTTTATTTCTTACTACTAATGATTTATTTACAAACTTTATTTACACAATAATGAAAAATGAATTAAAATAAAATGTGTATTTGGTTCTTTACAAACGGTGGTTGTTAATACGTGACGTGTCGTTGAAACAAACTGCTTGACTCAAAAAGGCACAATGCTATCTTCTTCTTCTCTTCTTGATGCTGAAGTTGATATCCTGCCAACTGGAATGTTTTTGTCACTAGATGGCGCTGGAGTCTGTGTGTGGCGGATTCGCCACAGATTCATGATGAATTGCCGTACCTTACTGAGCAGAATTTTAAACACAGTATTACATTCTCAGATGACAAACCATAGTTATCGATATCGATTGTTCTCTTTAGTTTTTAGTCGTTTTCATTGACTATTTTATTTAGAATACAAGATTATACAGCAACTATAAAACTACTTTACTAACAGAAAATTAACAATTCAATGACAATCGGAAATTTTTACGGGTTGCCATGTTGGTTGTACTGTTGCCACAGTACCCCCTTCCAGTATTGTCTATTGTGAAAACCTCACACGTACCCCCCTTCCAGTATTGTCTATTGTGAAAACCTCACCTGGTTTTAAATAAAATAGTCAAAAGAAACGACTAAAGACTCAACAGAAGTTGAATCATTTTCTTCACTATTACTATCTAAACATATTTTATGCAATTGTAATAAATGTTTTTTTAAATTAAATATGCGCTCGTTTTTTAAAATACGATTGCATATCTTACATTTTAGATATCCTTCCTCACTGGGATCAAAATATTTTAAAACATTAATGTTACTCTTATTACAAGCCATTGCTACATATGAGATCATAAACTAATACTGAACGACTAGATATCATCAATAAAGTATATCAAAATAGTGAAAATATTTAAATAAAAATAACGGAATAGTAAACGGTAAAATTCTATCGCAATTTTTCCGTTAATTTTTCAGCAGAAAAAAAAATTGTTTCAATAACAGAAAAGTATGAAGCATGTGCTGCGGAGTACTACCGGTAGTTGCTCCGGAGCAGTAGTAATTGCTACGGGAGCAGTAGCCGTAGCATGCACACAAAACACAATTTGCTTTACTCTGCTCCGCTACTATTCTGTTTCGTAGCACAGCAACAGCAAGAGCAACAATTTTAAAATTTGACTACTGCTACGAATATCAGTTGCTTCGTGCTTCAACAAATCAAACAGCATAGAATAGCAGAGCAACGCAAATTTTGTTTTGTGCTTCTGCTCTCATAAGTGCTCCGTCAAATTCAGAACAGAAGCAGGAGCAATAATAAATAGCATAGCATTTTCAATCACTGAAGAATACACATATATACATAGCTCAAATTTGGCAAGATATAAGAGAAAATACTTACAATAAAGATTTGAATTCAATAAAAATAAAATTTGATAATATAGTAGAACAGATTGACTCTTACCTAAAATATAGGGTAGAAAGAAATAATTACACTGATAATAGCAAAATGAAAAAATTCGATTTAATATCTGCTTCAAAAGTCAAACCCGAATTCAATGGACACGTAAAAAATCTATCTAATTTTATAGGTATTTTACAATTCTACTTGGATTCATTGAAGGATGACGATGAAAGAAATATTTTACAAAAATTTATAAAAAGAGCTAAATTATCAGATAAAGTAAAAAATAAACTAATATCTACGGAAGAAGACAACACAATCAATAAATTTATTCAAAAACTGAAAAACATTTACAAACCAAACACAAGTCCTTTGACAATACAGAACAAACTGATGAACATACGTCACAGCACTCAAACAGTATATCAATACACCTCAAAAATAGGGGAATACGTAGCACAACTTAATCAAATCC